ATATATCTTCTCCGAGTTTTTTCAAGCAGTATGCAAAGTTTTCGCTAATCCTGCCTTATTCAAGTCTCCTGTTAATTAGGTTTCTTTCAGTCAGGATGTCAATGGCTTCTCGTATCTTACGTTTTCTTATATTTTCGCCGTATGCAGCTAGCTTTTCTGTCAATTTCCTCTCGATTTCGTGTCTCGTTCGTGCAATGTGTTCCGCTATTTCGGATCTTTCAGTGTCCATGTTTCTGCTGTCTTTGGTGTTCCTTAATTTGTAGGCCGATCTTTCTTCCTGTTTCACCAATATACTTCTGCTCACAGTTGCCGCATTTGATGCTATAAACTTCCGAGTAATCCAGTTTATCAACCTTCTCGTATTGTGCCGGCAGGATTGTGAAGAGGGTTGTTTTTTCTTTTGTTATAACTTTGCTATTAAATTTTCTTAGCAACAGTTGCTATTTTTGACTTAGTTCACAGGAAGATAGTCATATTCACTTTTTGCTGTCCTCGCTATTTCTGATCTTATTTTCACATAATCCTAGTTATAATCTGCTCTTTATAATCCCTATATTTATTTTCTCTAAATTTTCTAGGGTACCCGTCAGTTTCTCCAACTTCTTTTTCTTTATCCCTTAGTCTGAAGCTTCTGATGTGCATACTTTTCATTATTTCGATCTTCGGTCGTTAGTTGTGATGAGACTGGAAATTGAGGATTATTCCCGCATATATGAGAATTCATAGAAAGAATTCTAGAGGTCATAAAGAGCAGATTTCAACTTTTATTTTATAAAATAAAATCAGGAATCGGGAGGATGACCAAAAGTGGATTACCTCTATTTTTTCTTTATATCTCAATAATCACTCCGATTGAGTTGTTTCAACCATGTCTTCGCAACTTTGTCGAGGCGACCTTGTGAAACGCATCTTTTCCCGTGTTCTCTGTCATAGTATTTGTGTTTTTCAGCATTGGTCCATTGATTGGGTACATTCTCAAACGTTTCACCGGCATCGTCATTGAAAGGCGCCATCGTAAGCACGGAGTTACAATTTCATACAGTTCTGTGTGAATAAGTGGGTAGGCCATATGAAGTTTGGTTGAGAGAAAGAAATGTTGCACTAGAAGATAGAAAAAAAAATAGGTGAGAGAAGTAATGCCTTTACTTGCTGCTTTAATAAGTTGTAATTTTGTGCTTACGATGGCGCCTCTCACTGATGATGCCGGCGAAATGTTTGGGAATGTCCCCAGCCAATGTTCCAATGCTGGAATTCACGAATACTATGGCAGAGGATACAGGACACGTTCCACAAGGTCTCCCTGAAGCTCCAGCCAAGTTATGAAGACAAGTTCTATCCAATACTCTTGTTAAAATTATTTATACAACATCATACTTCCATGTCAGCATCATCCATAAGCAGAAATTTACTCGACTGGAAGGTCAAACTGGTGTCGATTAACTCATTCTTTTAACTATCATACTTGCAAGACTTTCCCTGTATCTTTTAAATATGTTATTCCAGTCCTGTTTAGGTAACTGTACATGCTTCTTTCATGTTTCCATTTAATGTGTCATATAGTCCGCTCAATCCTCTAGCTGGGTCGTCTGTGATTTAAAAATCACATGTTCAAAGTTTAACCTGGTGTCAATATTCATAATAAATTGGTTCCTTAAAGTATTCGTTTATCTATTTTTGTTATAGTCCAAATAAAATTATTATATTTCTTGTGAGAACAGTTGCCAATTTTACTCGCACAAAAATACGGTGTAAGTGTGTGCACATTAAGAAAATTGAATAGTGATTTATAGATTGTAATATTCTAATTATTATTGCATTTTTATGTAGCTAAGAATATAATTCTTGAAATTTACCTTTAAATCTAGCTTCAGTTTCCCTTCTCTCTGGTCCATCTTTCTTAAACATACACTTCCACTCTATAGTCCCACGCAATCAAAGCTGCTGATTCTCGCCTTAATGTACAATACTTCTCGGATCCTCCCCCTGATTCTGATCCTGTTTACGCCAGTGTCACCCATCCTCTTCCAGCCGGAAAGCTACGTGAAGGTATTCCGACGACTACAAATCAGATTCTGGGTAATGTAGGTGGCTGCACTCGTCAAGCTCATCGATTAGATGTGACCAAGGCGACCGCTAATGGCTTTTCATCTGACATTGCTAGGACTGCAAGCATTTCAGGTTGCGTTTCATATGCGAATATTAGTTCATACTTGTTAGTTAATATAGTACATTCGGTTAAACATTTTAAGCCTAAAACTCCATTTATGTTAGCCTTAACTGCCGATTGTACCTTAAGTTTGTTTCCTTTTTAAAACCTTATGTACAAGGTACGTTGGAAGATTGCTGTCGCCTCTGAGAAATTACAAGGATTGTGTGAAGGATTTCAGTAATCGTTCACTCCTGCTCCTCAATTGCAGATATGAGTATGCTTTAAAAAAAACTGTGGATTAACGCTTAATTACACAAACAACCAATTACAAATATATAAATAATTATAATCAAAATCAACTGGTAATCGCCAACTCACTTTTTTTCTAAATATTTGTTTTTGTTAATTAGTATCTAGTATGGAGCTTTTTAAAAATGATTTCGAATCGCTTTTTTTTATTGTTTAGGCTTACTCGATTTTAATATTTGTTAAGGCATATTTTTGTCTTTTTGCTTTCTGTTGACATGTATTCCGGCTTGTTTTTTACTCTAGGGA